TGCTCTTTTCTCTATTGCTTTGTCCTTGTGATAGTTTCTGTCTTTTCCTTGCCTTGGGTTAAAAAGTATCATTGCTTTTTCTCATCCTATCACTTTGTGGGTCCCACAAGATACACTTTTAGAAAGACTTATGAAATGTCAGAATTCACAATCACATCTGGGTGACCGTTGCCACAGTGCGATGCCACGTGGCCAGCGGACGGGGTCTGAGAAACACAGGCGCGGGTGAGGGTGAGGTGGGAGCAGAGCAGATGAGGCCCCTCTTTGAAACCAAGAAGATTTAATGCTACACGTTCGGTGTTATTTGTACAGCAAATAGTGTTTATTTTAAAAGACCCAAATAGGGGAAAATAAAATGGTCATCACCTTCAGAGCCAGAAGCTTCTGCTGCTTTCTTACAGTCCTTGTCAGGATGGAGCTGGAAGGGTGGGGGGCTGTTACCATGTGTTGGAGGGTGCTCACACAGACCACCCATCCTTCAAGGAGCAGGAGGTGCTCAGGCCCTTGGACCCAAAGGCTGTCACTGACCTTCTGTGCAGCCTTGATAGCTCTAGTTTCCTTATCTGTGAAAGTAGGGAGGATAATGGACCCATCCTGGATGGTTTGCTGAGGCCATTTGACCTGCTGGGACCCCTAATGTAGGGGATTTGATTCCTGCCAAGGTGACCTGTCTCTACGAGCTCAAGGGCTGTTCTGTACCCAGGCTCTGCCACTTTCCCAACTATTCTAGAAGCATGGCTCCTGGGTAGCAGTGATTCTCCCCTGAATCATGGGGACTGCCTTCTGCTCCTCCATTTTCACCTGGCATCACCCGATTTCACAAGGGAGAGGCACCTTGGTATCCTGGGCATCTTTCAGTGGCAAGAGGCAGAAACCTTCTCAAACTCCCTCCAGGCCGGAGGAGAAGTTTTCAGGATGGATTCAGGGGTATGCATCATGGACCCCAAGGACAGGAAGCACAGTCAGCCCTCTCCAGGGGTGGAATCAGGGGACCAAGACAGTTTCTTTCTCTGTGTGTGCTTTCTGTCTGTCCACTCAGTCTATCTGTGTCTTTGCCCTCTGTCCACAACTCAGAGTGTGTGTCTCTCTCTGTGGCTCTGCTGCTTTCTCTGTGTCTGTCTTTCCCTTTTTCTCTTTGTCTCTCTTTGTGTTTCTCTCTTTCCTCCCTGTCTTGGTCTTTACCTTTAGTCTGTATCTCATGTGAGGCAAGCCAGATGCCCTGGGCACAACATTTAAGGGGGCCCTCACTCTCGGGTGCAGCCCTGCTTTTGGCATGAGCCCCAGAGTGAGCCCCTCCTTCATTGTGTATCTTGGGCACCTCGCTTGCCTCACCCTGGGCCAGGCCCAGCTTTTCTCCCTGTCACCCATTTACTCTCTTTGTCTCTCTGACTCCCTCCTAAAGCTGAGTGTTTGTTTCTGTCTGGCACATGATCTCTGGTCTCTGCTCATCTCTACTGATCAGCACCCTGCTTTTCCTGCTTCTCTGGGCACATGACTGAATTTGGTTGTCCCCTAGTCTAGCAGTCCAATTTCAAATTTCCAGGAGGTGAATACAGCCCGGCTTGGGTCAGCCATTCATGCCCTGTCCAGTCAGCTGTGGCCAGGGTTCCCAAATCTGTCCCTTCAACGCGAAGTATGGCCCAGGACACCCCTCACTGCCGGAACACAGACAGCTTTGCCTTGGGCTTTCCTGGAAACTTGGGGAAAACAGCCAGAACTAAGTTTGAGAACAGGAAAAGATATGCTCCTCTCCCCCCAACCCCACCTCATGGTTCTTCAAATGTATTGAGTGTTGAGCTGCCTACTGGTTCTTACAGCTGTATCTGTAGAAAAAAATTGTCATCTCTCATTTTGGGGTTCTGTTTTTAGATGTCTGAACCAAGTGTGGTGAAAACACTTGCTGCTGTGTATCATCCACTCGCGGCCAAATGCTTTGAGAATCCAGGGAGCATCAAGGAGGAGGGGTAGCAGTCTTGACTCTGGGATGAAAGACGGTCTGGAGGAGGACAGGGGGCGTTTTCAGTCAGGCCCAGTTGGGGGGTACAGACCCTGCAGGCCTGGGCAAAAGGAGCCAGAGTTAGCCCGTGGGGATAGAGAAGGCTGTGGGGTACTGCCTGACCCTATATTTCTGGTGGGGCCTCAGCATTTTTCTCCAAGCCCTCTGGGTGGTCCTTAAATAAACGGCAGGAGGACTTGGGGGAGATGCAGCAGTGTCAGTGGGGAAGGTGTGGTGACAGGGCTTTGGGGCTATTTCTTCTCTTTTTGGGAGATAAGGTGGGGGCATGGGTGCAGGAAAGGACTGGAGACGGGCTTAGAAGCTGGTGGCGGCTGTGGAACTGGAGGCTTTAGGCTTCAGTTCACACCCTGGGTTTTTTCAGGGCCTGCTCAGGATTCATGCAGACCTCCCGTAGCCATCAGGGGCCTGTACCTTGAAACTAGGCTCTGGCTGGCTGCCGTGCTTCTAGGGAAGGCAGGACCCAATCCCCAAGCTTTGCTGGTCTCCCGTAGACAGAAAGAAGAAGCCAGCAGAGAAGTCTCCTTATGAGCATTGGGGAAAAGGTTATGCAAATGTAAACATAGGCAATAAATCACTTTTATAATTATAGAATCCATGCCTGTGTCATCTTTCTCCAGAACCCTTTGTTCCATTCATTTGACTAACATTTACTGAGCTCTTACGAAGTGCCATGTTCTATGCCAGGTGTCCCCAGCAGGGAAGACCGGTGCCTACATAAGCAGAATTATAGTGGGATTTGATCGAGACTCTTATAGTGCGGTACTCAAAAGTGCTGTAGCAGCACAGAAAAAGCAGTTAATTCTATCTTGGAGTCAAGGAGCCTTCCTGGAGGAGGTGACATTTGCTCTTGAAGGTTGAGTAAGAGTTTACCAAGTGGGAAAGGATGGTCATCTCAGAAGGGCTTGGCTGGCTTGGGGAAGGGTGGGATGTTTGGATTAGAGGGTGATAGCAAGAGAGAACTGATGTGGCTGGAGGGGCAGGTGGAGCAGCCCTGTATCCGGGCATCGGCTTGGCCCATTTGATTCCTTAAACTTACAGTGTTGAGCCTCTTTGCATCTGCTGCTAGAGCAGCTTCTGTTTGTCCCCAACTTTATGTAGGATGAGGCTCTGCACCAGGATGGTGTGGGGTGGGGAGCTGGGTCTTGGAGGACAGAGGTTGTGTCCTAGGAAACAGCAGCTCTGCCAGAACCCGAGGTGCTCCTGGGCAGGGGCTCGAGGCTCTGTGAGCCTGGCAGTGCTCAGGTTGCACACATCACCTTGGCAGTTTGTGGGCAAACCCTCTTGGCCGAGGGGAGATTGCACTGCCTGCCACTTCCTCCAGTTCCTTCCCTCTGCCTGTCGTCACGGTTACCTCTGCCGTGTTGGGGGTGAGGTTGAGGTTGGGCGGAATCGATTTTGTCCAGGTTTCTATTTTCCCATTTGCAGGTCAGCCAGAGGAGCTGTCACTTCTGGTTCTGTTTCAAAGGAGGCCAAGGGGCTGGGAAGTGCTTGGGTGCGGCCGTGTTGACAAGGCACCTCTCTAGCCAGCCTCCCAGGCGGGGTGGGAGTGGGTCAGGGAGAAGCTCAGAGGCGGCAGAGAAGGAGAAAGTGCTGCTCTGCCAGGCCGGTGACGATGGCCGTGGGTGCTGGTCTCCGGCCCAGGCCCTGGGTTCTGACCTCCTGGAGCATGCTGGGAGTACCCGGAGGGGGGCTGTTTATTTTCCTGGCCCAAAGTCCTTTCGGCTGAGACCTTGTTCCAGGAGTCAGGCTGCCAGAATCACCCCCATTGGCTCGAGAAGTGAGAGAGTTGGCAAGCCCACGGTAATCCAATGACTTCTCTAGTGGCTTCTCACTCTAGGCTGTCCCCAGCCCAGCTGGTCATGTGTGTCCTCCAGCTTCTCCCGTAGGTAACGAACAGCAGGAGGCACCACATTAAAGTAACCCTGATGGGCTGGGGCTGTGTGGCCTAGGGGTCAAGAACAAGAGAGTTGAAGTCAGAAATCTGAGTCGGAACCCTGACTCTGCCGTTTCCTTGGCCAGTGGCCCTGAGTACGTTGAACTGTTGAGGCTCAGTCTTACCAGCTGTAAAATGGGACAGTAATAGTATCTTCCTCATCAGGCTTTGATTGTGAGGATTACATGACCTGTGTTTAAAGCATTTAGCAAAGGAGGCCACAAGCAACAGCTCTCGTTGTTGTTATTAATGAAACAATAACTGCCGCTTTGATTAAAAACCAGTGTTGGTGGGTGGGGAGTTTCCTCTGTCCCGTGTCATGGGCCCTCTTTCATTTGTGGTTCATTACCTGATGAGCCCTGGAGAGAAGCAAGCCCAAAGGTGGCCCCTCTGCCTGTGTCGTGTGCAGGGCGTGTCAGGGAGCCTCTCGGATGCTGGGATACAGGCGGGTATCTTGGGGAAAGGACGTGCAGAGGCCAGGCAGGGAAGAGAATCAAAGCCAGGTGAGGAGGTTGGGTGACTGTTTAGTGGAGAGGGAGATAGATCTAAGCATTTAGAAGGACCAAGAGGAAGGGCGAAGGTACCTTAGGGAGGCGAAAGTGGGTGGCTGCAGAATTCGAAAGCTGCGCCCACACCCAAGGCAGTTTTAAACGAAGTGCCAGGGAATTGCTCGCCTGGAAAATAGTGCCCGGAAGGCTTGGGCTGGGCAAAAGAGACTGTACTGCCCTTTGGGTGCCCCTTCTGTGTGAGTAGCTTCTCCAGGCTCGGGCCTCCTGAGTGCTGGCAGAACCCGGGCAGCCCTGCCCCCCTGGGGCCCTAACTCTCCCAGGGGGTGCCCACCTGCTCCCAGAGGATCCTTGGGCTGGCTGGGAAGCATTTCCATCTCACCAGATGGGAGGCGAGTGGGCTGGCAGACAGGGACAACTCGTTCACTGCCGAGATGTGGGTTAGGTGGGGGATTGTCCATCTGTCTGTCTGTCTGTGTGTCAGGAGGGAAGCCGTACTCCAGGTCTGCTTCAGTGCGTAATCGGTGGCTCTCTGCCCTCACAGCTAGATGAGGAAGAGGAGCGAAGGAAAAGGCGCCGGGAGAAGAACAAAGTCGCAGCGGCCCGATGCCGGAACAAGAAGAAGGAGCGGACAGAATTTCTGCAGCGGGTAAGCAGGGCGGCTGACCGCGCAGGGAGTGGGCTTGTGCATGCGTGCACTGGGAGACGTCATCAAAGCCTGTGGGCTCAAAGTGTACCTGCCGGCATCTGCCCAAGCAGCCTTGACCCACCCCTGTTCTTCTCTGCCTCCTAATGCGCTTTCCCGAACCAAGATAACCTAGGGCAACCTGCAGCAGGTCCTGCCCGCTCTGATCCCTGGGAGGCCAGAGAAGGTGAGAGGAGCCAAGTTCCTTCTACTGAGGTTAGAGCCTTGGTGCTGATTGACCCAGATGGCCCCAGGGTCGGTACTACCCATTTTGGTACCCTGATGGCTGCCAAAGTTGTCTAGGGTGAGTGCTAATAAAGTAGGTGATAATGCCATGCAGGTGAGCAGTCGACGCAGCACCTGGACAGAGGAAAGCTCCTTCCTTAGCTGCAGGAGGCTCTTCCAGCCTTGCCTCCCGGCTGGCTGCCCTCAGCCTCATTGAAGGTGACCCCAGAGCATTTTGTTCCTGCCTGTGGGGACCAGAAGTCAGCTGTGAGGCAAAGGCCAGCAGAGGGTTGCTTTTCTTGGTAGCCCTCAGAGCAGGTCCTTGCCCTTTCATTTGGAACGTGCCAAGCAGGTTTGAGTTCTTTCTCCGCTGAGTCCCATCTCTTAGGGCTTCCCTGCTCCTCAACAATGGTAGGTGGCAGTGAAGGAACATGACCAGAAAGCTAATTAATCCAGGCTGGTATCTCCAGGCTCCCACCCCCAATCCCTTCTTCATTTCTAAATAATAACAACAATGCATAATAATAACAATAATATAATAACGTTATAACATCATGGGTCAGGCTCTGTTCTATGGTATACAACACTTAACAACAGTTAACATTTTTAAAGTTGAGAACTGTGCTAAGTGCTGTGTGTATATGATCTCATTTTACTGGCAGAATAACTATGAAGTAGGTGCCTTCATGACTCTCCTTCCACCGATGGGAAAACCAAGGCATGGCAAGATTCAGTAACTTGCCCAGGTCCCTCAGTAACTAAGTAGTAGAACTGAGATTCGAGCCTGAAGCTAACTTCAAAGCATTTGTTCTTAACACTCTGCTATGCTGGCCATAATTAATTCACTCGTTTGTTCATTCATTCATTTATTTGTTTGTTCATTCTTAAGCATATACTAAGTCCCCAGCACTGTGCTAGGTACACTGGAGGACACAGAAGAAGGAGCAGAGATGATCCCTTCAAAGGGAGCTGGAGGGACGAGGCTGTGTTGGCCTTAGTTTTCGCTGACACTGGGGGATCTATGAGTCCCTTCTCATGCTTCCAACAAGCAGAGAGCAAATCTGGAGTCGTGGATGTAAATCGGCATGGGGTTGTATGTCCGCCAGGCTGTGAGCGTCTAGGTGGGTTAGGCCCCTAGATCTAGGAGCCCCTTTGCAAGAAATGGTGGACCAACACTGGGCTGAAAGTCTTCAAGAAGTTTCTAAGACACAGGTCTCACGTGGGCCTTTAAATGGATGGAGTTTCATATATTCGTTTCCAGCCGCGCGTGCCCACAGAGCTGGGTGAGGCACAGCAGGCAACAGAGCAGTCTCACAGCAGATCCCTGCCTTCAAGGGCTTGTCAGCCAGTTAGCAGGCAAGATATGCCAAGTGAATGTGAATCAATAACACACTAGTACAGTAAACAGTCAGTGCCGAATGAACGGCACTAGCTGCTCTTCATATTCCTGTGACACTTGCTGAGCACCTACTGTGTGCCAGGCATTTTACGTGTCTCGTTTAATCTCATAACATTCCTGTGAAATAAATATTGATTATCCCCATTTTAGATACTGACCTGTAGCTCAGAGAGGTCAAGTTACTTGCCCATGGTAAGTCACACTGCTAATAAGCAGTGGAGCTGGAATTCGTTTATTCCTTTGCTGATTCATCTATCTATCCATCTATCCATCCACCCATCCAGTAAGTGTTTAGTGAGTGCCCACTGCACAGTGGACAGGCAAGCGGTGTCTGCAGTGGGACAGCAGATGGAAAATGAAGAGCAGTAACTTATGCTGAGTGTTGCCCAGCGAGCTGTGAGAACTGTGAGCTGTGAGGCTGAAGAAAGACTGCTTACTGAGGCATAAAAGAAGAGTGGGAGCTGGCCGAAATGAAGGACAGGGATGCAGGGGGTCATCAGGAAAAGTACAAGTGTAGGCCAGAGGCAAGAGGTGTTTAAGAATGTGATTAAGGAATTGAAAAGAATGGCTGTTGTTTAGAGCACAGGCGGGAGAATGGAGAGGCAGGCAGGCAGGCCCCAGAGTCTCGATGTGTCAGGTGATCCTCTATACTGGGTTGTCTGGGGCAATCCCAATGTCTGCCTATTGTCCTGGCCTAATTATTAATAGCACCTTCTTTCACTCTCACAAGTGTCCCCATTAGGATGATGAATCGTATGGTCATGGAGAGCCATGGATGGGTTTCAGAACAAGAGAGACACACCTTAGAAAGATCTGTCTGGCTGCAGCATGGGGCACAGATTGGGGCAGCTGAGAATGGAGTGGGAAGATCAGTTACGGGCTGTGGTGTCATCCCGGTGAGAGAAGGCAGTGGTGAGCGTGAGGAGCAGTGTGTGGCCTCGGAGTCTAGGAAGGAGGTTTGGACAGGTCTTTCTGGGCCCAAGCTCAGTCCTGCCCCTCTGCCCCATGCTCCCTGCCTCTCCTTTGGCCTTGGAGCTGAGGTTGGGTGTGAGGTTTAGGGGACAAATTTCAGGTGGCTGTGTTGACCGTCAGTGTCCACAGACCTGAGAGCTTCTCTTGGAATTTATTTTTTAAGAGGTAAATATTTACAGGGCTCAGAGTTACAAAGGTGTGTATGTGTGTACACATGTATATAAACTCGCTTACACACATATATGTAAAAAGTTGCTTTCTCATCCTTGACCCCTGGATACCCAGACCCACCCTGGGAGATTCCTATAACATCCTGCCTGGACCGGCCGAGGTCCTGAAGGAGGCATAGGCAGGAGGCAGGCCTTTGGTGGGTCAGATCCTCACTCTGCAGGCCCCAGGGTAACCCCAGTGCCCCCTCTGTCTGCAATCAGGAGTAGCAGCCTCTAGGCTCCTCCCTTCTGTAACGCCAGCCTCTGCAGCTGCGGTGCCTAAGTTTTCTGGGTGCTGGTAGCAGTAACCATCTCACACTCCCATGGTGCTCTGCGCTCTTCATAGCCACTCTCTCCTTCATGGTCGCAGTGACTCTGGGAGGATGCAAAGCAGCTCCATTCCACTGATGAGTACTCTGGGACTAAGAGGGATGAAAGTTTGCTTAAAGTCACACAACAGTCAAGTTAGGACTAAAATCCAGAGCTTCCTCTTCTGCCCAGCATATTATTCAGGTTGCCCTGGCTCAAGGAAATTGGGAATTTTGTTCATAGCAGTATAGCCAGCAAGTGGCAGGGTCAGGATTTTAATTCAGACCGGTCTTTTGGGCTTAGAAGTCCACATCAGGCTTCTTCTTTACAAAAAGAGTTGGGAAGTGAAACTCTTATTTTAAGTATGTAAGATAACTTTTAAAAAAAGTCCAAAAATTTTAATGCTTAAAATCCTCTGGGCCAGTCATCATATTTTCTGGGAGGAAACTGAGGCCCAGAGAAGGGGAGTAACTTGGCCAAAGTCACACAGCCAGTATGAAAAGCCAGGACACCCAGCCCCTCACTCTGTATTTTTTCTATTGCCTTTGCTGACCACCGTGGAGGAGACCGAAACATCATGTGCACTAATTCTATGCTAAAACAACAAATGGTTTCATTTTCTCTAGGGCAATAAATATTCATCAGAAGGCAAAACGATAAAAATGCAAGCAGAGTTATTCACTTCATAATTAACATGTAAAGATCCTAGCCCACGGTCCTTAATTGGTTAGGAAAACAGATCAGGTAATTGCTGTTACAGAACCACAAACCACTTCTACAATCATGGTTTTAAAAAGAATCTTCTGAACTCAACTGGAACAATAAATAAATATGTAGCACCGACCAATAAAACTAAAAAGTAGTTAGTTACATTCTGATAGCCAAATGGTATTCTGTTATCTACTCTAACATTTTAAAGCCAACAGAATGCAATGGGCATTCCTATGATGAATACACGTGTGAAGAAAGTTGCCACGCACCTTCTTGGTCGTTCTGTGTGATCCAGATGCTCACATGTAAGGTTGGTTTGACACGCAGTCATTTCAAGGAGGTGGATCTTTGCATAGTACTGAATGCTGCGTGTTGGACTCTGCCTCTTGCATGTCCAGTTTTAATTTCCTCTCACTGTTCCTACAACTTAACCCCTTCTTTGTTCTTCCGCACCACTCCCCAGAACCGCTCCCCACCTCCACAGGCCGCTCTCCTCCCTCTCTCCCGTTCTCCAAATCCAGGCAGTCATCAAGACCTGCTAAGCTTTCTTTGACATGTCCTCACCCTCTTCTCCTTCTCTTTCTTCATATTCTCTTGCTCATAGCTTAAAGAAAAATTCCTTAAGCCTCCCTAACCCTTTGGTTTACAAAGTGCCTTTCTCGTCAAGTTCATTTAATCCCCAGGATCATCATCTTTTTACAGATGAGATAACTGAGGCTCAGAGAAGTTAAGAAACTTGCTCTAGACTCTGATTCAAAACCCTAAAGCTTTTCTCAGTCTGGATCTATACCCACCTTCCCAGCTTTCGACTCCACTACATCCTAAAGAGATCTGTGGTCACAGTGGAGGATTTTATCTCCTAAACATATTTTAAGCTTTCTCATGTCTGTGTCCCTTTTCACCCACTTCCTGAAGTCCCTCACCCCTACTGACTTCTGTTCAACTAGAGTCAACCCATTTTTCAAATCCAAGGTCATACCCGGCCAGTTAGCCCCCTCTGAAGGTTGTCCAGACCCTGCCTGGCTAATGGGTACATTGTAAACTCTGCCCTGCTATATGGATCCTGCCCTCAGAGTAGAAGCCCTACAAGTCATGTTGGGAGCTCATGGGTCTTTACGTATTAAGATTTTTGGACTCTTTTTTTTTTTAAGTTATCCTATGCACTTAAAATAGAGTTCCACTTTGGAAAGAAGCCTGATGTGGCCTTCTGAGTCCAAAAGACCCGTCCGAATTTTCCCCAGAGCCTTCATTGTACACAGCAGGTCCTCAGCAAACACGGATGCGTAAATTGAACTGAAACTCCTAGAAGCAGAGGCTCAGAGGCTGGGAAGAGCCGGATGGTCAGAGGGTTTGTGAGAATGTCCCATGGTCACCAGCTCATTACACCCAGTGAGCCAGCAGCTAAGATTAGCACCTAACTACCCTAGACTGACGGATCATAGACTCATGGTTTCGCATGGGGTCTTTCCTGGCCCTCAGAGATGGACTTTCCTTGGAATTCTGAGAACAGTGGACCAGGCTAGTCTCCGCATCTGCCTCATCCTGATGAACTTTCATCATCCTGATGAAAAACGGCCATAGCTGGTTTTTAATATTTTCCCCCGAAGCAATTTTTTTTTCTTTTTTGTTGAGGCTGTTCTCTCTCAGCATCTGGTCATGAGGACTGCACATCTCAGCAGTTCCGAGGTCCCCAGGCACTGGCGCTGTCTCCTCAGGGACAAGCACAAGGAACAATTTAGCCAGACCGGCTGGTGTGAGGAAGACAGCAGCTTAGGGAGTGTGTTGTTCCTACCAAGGGCTTGTGAGACCCAGAGAGAGGTGCCCGGGCCCCACCAGGTGGAAGGGCAAGCTCATGCACCCGAGCTACGGCCACACAGCCCATTGTCACACACACAGTTGCAACCGCAACTTGTTCTCTGCCTGATGCAGGTTGCTCAACCTCGGCCCTGTTGACATTTTGAACAAGATAGTTCTTGTTGTGGGGCCTTCCTGGGCATTGCAGGGTGTTTATGAGCATCCCTGGCTTCCAGCCACAAGATGCCAGTAGCAGCCCCCTTTACAGTTGTGACAACCAGAAACGTCTCCAGATATTGTTGAATGTCTCCTGGGAGGCAAAAAGTGCACCTAGTTGAGAACCACTGGGCTAAAATGTTGCTGGCCCTTGAATATATTTCAACTGTCAAACTAATTATAGGTTTTTAGACACAAGCCAAGAAAAATCATTGAGGAGCATTTCTGTTTTACTATTTTGACCCTCTCATGACTACTCACACTATGAACATGTAACCCCCCCAAAATCAAACCAACATTCTTTCCTTTCCCTGGAGCCTCTCCAACTGAGCTGGAAATTTATTGGAAATCTCTCCTGAGGCCTATTTGAAACCTCATTTTGGATCCAGAAGGATGACTGTTATTGCCTCCCTAAGGGCAAAGCTTCTAGATAACAGGGAATAAGGAAAAGGCTGTTTAAACAATTATAGGCTAGTAATCAGAAAGCACGTTTTAGAAGGGATTACACGACCACACTGGGCTTGCTCATCCCACAAGCCAAAATATCCCCAACATGCATTGTCACACTTCAAAGCGCTTCCATTGCCCTGCCACCCAGGGGCCACCTCTAACCCCTCTGTGGACCCTCTACGCGCCTGCTCTGGATCCACTTGGCTTCCATTCTTCTTCTACCCTTTGTTTCTTATGCAAGGCCCTAGAGCAGGAGAGTGTTTGGCACATTTGAGCAACAGCAAGGAAGCCACTGTGGCTGGAGTGGAGTGAGCGAGAGGAGAGAGTTGGGACATAATCTGGGCTGGCCCCAGGGTATGATTTGGGTTTATTCTATTGGTGCCACAGGCCAGTGTCACAGGTGTGAAGGACACTGCCTGCAGAAAGTCAGTTACCCTGGGGTGGGGGGAATCAGGAGCAGGTTCTGTGCTTCCTGCAGGGGGAGCCTGGCTGACAGGAAACAGGCAAATGCTGGCTTTGTACCTACCCAAAGGCAGAGCCTCTCCCCATTGCTTAAAAGCCACATCTCTCTGTTTTTGCACAGGAATCTGAGCGACTGGAACTCATGAACGCAGAGCTGAAAACCCAGATCGAGGAGCTGAAACTTGAGCGGCAGCAGCTCATCCTAAAAACCGGCATCGCCACCTGCATCGTCAGAACCGACAGTGTCAAGACTCCCGAGTCAGAAGGCAACCCACTGCTGGAGCAGCTGGAGAAGAAATGACCATGGGCTGGGAGGAGGAGGAGGAGGAGGAAGAAGAGGAAGAGGAAGAGATAATGAAAGAGGGAGGAGGAGGAGGGTCCCAGAGGGCCCTTCCTTGCTGCATCAAAAACTTTTCAATGAGGCTCAGCACAGCCAGCATCGGCCGGGCTTTTTTTGTGAAATTCACATCAGCCACACCAGGGGAAGAACAGGCTGATGAAACCCAGGACCAAGCGCTGAGACCAAAGTAGCCCCGCGGGTGGGGCCGTCCTGCCTGGGGCCAGGCTTGAAGGAGGCAGGACAGAGGCTCTGGGCCGGAGAGACGCCCAACCAGGCAGCCACGGGCACTTCTCCGGCCTCTCTGCCAGGGCACCCACCCAAGGGACCTCCGAGCAGCCAGGAAAAGCCATGAGTTGCAACCAAAATGTGGCTGAGGATGGAACTCCGAGTGAAACTGCAACCTGCCTGCCCCCAGCCCTGACCCCTGACCCCGAATCGAGGCTGGAGAGGGGCACGAAGCGGGGCCTGAGGTACCCACCCGCCCCGGTCCAGCGCGGTCCTGCCCGGGAGCGGCAGCCGGGGCGCACCCTCGCCGGCCTCGCTGGAGTTGCTGTGGGCACGAGGCGCGGGCGCCCTTCCAAAGCACATACTCACTGAATGTTTACAGACTGGCTGTCCTGGCAGGGCTTTCAACTGCACATGTTTTTTATACTTTCCTTTTTTTTTTTTTTTTTTAATATTTTTTACAAAAAAAAGATTTTATACAAGCAATATATATATGGATTTCTATAATCACTCGATGTGATACAGTATAAATATGCTATGGTTTGTTTGTTACGAACAGATATCTAGCAGTTATGGCCGTTGTGTGTAACTCCTAAGTACTGTAGTCTCTGGGTGTTGGGGGTGGCCGGGTGGGGGTGGGGTGCATTTCCATCCTGGTAAACCCTTCATAGTACTCAGTCCTGTATCGCTCAGTAAACGTTACTCTTACTTACACAGCTGTCTCTTGTGGTGTCTACCGAGGGGATGAGGTGTAAGTGCGCCTCTCGTGTGTGATGTCCGGGAATGTCCGGAGCATCTGCTGTAGACTTTCACAGCAGCCCTCCCAGGTCAGTGTTTATCTGCCCATTTTACAGATGAGGAAGTCAAGGCTCAGAGAAGTTAAAGAAATCTGCAGTCCTTACTTCGTTTAGTCACTCCACACGTTTACTGAGTGTCTCCACGTGTGTGCCAGGCACGCTACAAGGCACTGACTGAGTTGTCACTGTGGAATAAAACAAACCCGTGCCCTGTGCTCGTGGAGCTTCTAGTCATGAGCTAAATCCTGTGCTTGATCTATATATGGTCTCAGTTCATCTTCACAACAGCCATGCCAGGGAGCAGCAATTGTCCTCAATTTACAAATGAGGAATTAGAGGCCCAGTGAGGTAGAGACAAACTTGCAGACACCCTTTATTGACTTACTGTGTGACAAGCACATGTAGTCTCATTTACATCTCCCAATAGCATGAAGTAGGCATCGTTACCCCCATTTGACCAACAACTAAATTGAGGCTGAGAGAGGGTAAGTGACTTATCCAAGGTCGCCTAGCTAGCAAGGGCAGAGCTGGTGTATGAACTCTGCCTCCAAAGGCCCGTGACTCTCTACCTGTTGCAAGCTGATGATGTGGTTATCTCTGTGGTTGAATGTCTCACCTGATTAGAATAGGAAGCCTACGAGGCCACGATTACAGATTTGGTTTCTGAGAGGACTAGATAGAGTTCCAGGCTATGCCATGATCATGCAGTCAACCAGTGATCCGGGCAAATGTGTGCTTGTCCCAGGAGGGAAGTGTGGATGACTTAGCCACACCCTGACCTGCACAACTGAGTACCTGACTCAGAAGAGTAAGGATGGCTCAGTATGATACTCGATAACTGCCATTTACTTGGCATGTGACAGTTCATGCATGTCGTCTTATTTGCCATTACAGCTTTATGACATAGGCGGTTAGGTGTTTTTAGCTCCACTGTATTACTATGCAAACTGAGGTTTATAAAGATGAAAATTCACCCAGCTGCAAAGAGGCAGACCTTCCATTGTGAGTTCTCTCTCCATCACTGGAGCTAGATGACTAGTTGATGATGAAGTGTCATGTCAAGGACAAAAGTGACCTTAGATTGCTTCTCAAATCATGAACGAGGCCTGGGATGGATGGGAACTGAGAATAGGTCATTAATATACCTTTTGGTTCCTTGCTCATCTCAGGTCCCCACCACTCGGCACGCTTGGTGTGGACCCGCTGAGCCCTGGTCAACTCATTGTCTGCTGTGGCAGCCATGGTAAACCCTCAGGCTGTAATCCTTTGGCATTTTTCAAGCCATGAGAGAAATGAAGATGTAGACTTATAAGGGTCTCTCAAATGACCTGGTGGTCATTATTGCAGGACCACTGCCTGCTGTAGCTGTGGCTCCTCTGGTCCTGTGCTTGGGCCCGACGAGCCCGTTACCTACAGAATAGATGCCTCCTGGTCTGTGAGGACGGGCTGTCTCCCAGAATCGGTGACTTGTGTTGTGCTGAGGCCCTGCCCTTGGTGCTTCTTCCTCAACAGGACCAAGACTAGCCAGAAGTCATAATTGCAGTCTTCCTCATAAGCGATAACATTTGAGTGTTTTGTGTGCCTGACACTTTATTTTTTTTTTCCCCTCTTTAATTCCCCCCTCCCCCACTCCATCCCACTTCCACCCCTGACCTATGGATGTTGCCGTTTCCCCTTAAGAACTGGATCTCTGAAGGCGGGGTGTCTCCTCCTACAAGCGTGCAGCATGCACCCGGGGCCTGGCGCACTGGGGGGCGCTGGTGTACCCGGGGCCTGGTGCACCCAGGGCATGGTCCGTGGCTCCACCTGGGGCGCAAACCCAGGACCTTCTGCGTGTAAAGCAGACGTGCTAACCACTACACTATGGGGCCACCCCCTGCCGGGCACTTTAGATGTATTACTGCAGCCAGTTCGTATGACCTTGCCAGGAGGTAGGTGCCATTATCCCCATGTTATAGATGAGGAAACAGGCACAGAGAAGAAGTAACTTGCCCAAGGTCACAGTCCCAGTGGGTGGCAAAGCCAGTATGTTCTTGCAGTTTGACCCCAGGTGCACAAAAACTGGGGCCAGGCCTTACTCTGAGGGGAAAAGTTCCATGTGTATGGTGTTACCTCAGTTGCTGGAAATGCTTGTGCAGGAGGCCAGACGAGATGGCACAGACTAAAAATTCCCAACTCTCAGACACCCATCTCCAAATATACCTAAGAAGATATATTTTAAAGGCAAATAGGTTCAAGACCAATCTTCTAATGACTAGCAATGAGCCTCATTTTTATCTGTAAAGTGGGATATAATCCAAGTCTTTTTTATGGGGTTGTCTGGGTAAAATGAGGAATGCATGTAAAAGTGTCTTTTGAAATATAAAACTCTATAAAATGTGATATCTTGCCCTATGTTAGTGTGGATAGTTGTTGATATTAACCATGTAACAGAAATTATGTGAATATCTTATTTTCTAAGGTTAGCTGCAGAGTTTGTGTTCTGGCTGTGTATCTGGTTCCCACGGTGATAAATGCCCGAGACCCAAGACTCCTGGGTTCATTCAGCTCCCGAATAGCCACAATCAGCTATATTAGGCTCATCATCCCTGGGCCTCCCTATGCCCTTCTATCAGATGGTCATAAATTAGACCTGTACCACCTGTGCTCTGGGTTGCTATGAGAATCAACTGTCCCAAGAAGGAAAAGGCCCATTAGCAATCAGATGGGCAGAAACTAGTATTGTGTTGGCCAGGAAACTGGCGTGACTACTGTGTAAAGCAATTTGGCAATAACCAGTGCCACTAAAGCTAAACACATCCTTTGACCTAGCAATTTCCCTCTTAAGTATATACCTTGGAGCAGAGGTCCACAATCTCAGGTCCCAGGCCGCACAGCAGAAGGTGAGTGGCAGGCAGGCAAGCCAGCAAAGTTCCATCTGTATTTGCAGCCGTTCCCCAGTGCTAGCACCACCGCCTCGGCTCCACCTCAGATCATCAGGTATTAGATTCTCTTAGGAGCACCGGTCCCTGGTGCCAAAAAGGTTGGGGACCGCTGATGTAAATAATATCTTATTGTTTATGAGTACACATAGAGCTGGGTAGTAGAGGTATAAGGGCATGCACAAGAATGCTCTAAATATCAAAATCAGTATTAGGGAATGCTCTTGCGGATGGAGAGGGTGGAAGTTGGAATTGGCATCTGCAAGGGTAAAGAGGACAGTGGAATTCAATGACATGTGTAACATTTCATTTATTCTTAAAAATCTGAATCTAATGTAGAATAATGTTAGAATTTGTCAGAGGTGAGTGATGTGCACACAGACACGGGTTATATTCTCCTCCACACTTTGTATGCTTGGTATTTTTCATAATAAAAGAGAACAAGCCACAACACAAAGAGGAGCTTTTGTTTCTCCATGCTTTCCTTAGCAAACTCAGGAAATAAAAACAAAATCTGAAATTACAATGAAGTTGCAGGAAATGGTCTTTGAATTGATGCAAATTTAGTTATATGCCTAGAGGGAGAGACGATTCAAAAGGGTATGATTTGTGTAGTTGGCCCTTCCAGTCAGAAAGGTAGTCTGGTAAGCCCGCCCGTGCCAAGAGATGAAGACACCTTGGGGAGTGTTGATCTGCTCATTTCAGTAGATCTTGGTCCCTGCTCTCCACATAACGGGCAGTTGAAATGATGGTCAAGGTCAGTTCGGACTCTTTCTTTCTCACTTCACATCACTCTGACACTGACTCTTCTGCCTTCCATCTTTTAAGGACCCTTGTGATTATATTGGGCCCACCTGGATAATACAGAATAATCTTATTTTAAGGTTGACTGTCTAACTATTTAAATTCCATCTGCGCTCTTAATTCCCCCTTGCCATGTGACCCAACATAGTCAAAGTTTCCATCTTTGGGAGGCTGTTATTCTGCCTACCACAATAGAAACAAGAGTTGGAGGTTCTTAGCTACAGCCTCCCTCACTTTCTGGCAAGGTAGGCTCTTTTCCACGTAGGGGCCCTGAAACTGGGAGTTTCTACCCCCAGTGCTTGGTACATAGTGGATGATCAACACGCACAACATGCAATACACACAGACATACTCACAGATATACTCACATGTGATACAATATAGATAAAGATTAACAGTTACATACACAACCTACAGATATACATGCAGATACACAGACACACATTTATTCACGTAAGGTGAGACCAGGCATAAAGTAATGAGATCGATGCCAGTCTTACTCCTTTCTGTTGTATTTCTGTAATTTTTAAATGAGCTTATTCTCCATAATGGTAAGTCATCTTTCATTGGGAAGAGCTAAATTACAGTTAATGATAAGGTTAATTAAACTGGGCATACTGTTTTGGCTTAAAAACTAAATCTTGTAAGAAGCTGGGTTTGTTGTTTGGCTCCTAAGCTGGCTCTGTGGGTGACTCATGAAAAACGACTCCTAGAGCTTTGTATCATTTGCAGTAAAATTAACATTTAAACATCAGCCTCTGCTGCTCTGAAGGACAGAACTCACCTGGATGGACTGTACTGGGTACCTGTTGTGCCCTATTAAAAATCCTCTGACTCCAGTTCTAAGCAGGTGTGAGAAACTTCACACAGGTGCAAACTGATGGCCTCCCCACAGCCACATGCCCTGTACGTGTTCCACTTCCTGTCCTGGGGAACATCCATGGCCACCCCTTGGCACTTACATACATGCGACATGGAAATTCAGGGAAGTCAGTGTTTGTAGGGTCTACATTGACAAATTGGTGGGTAGGGCAATAGATAAATGCTTTCCCCTTTTGTCCTCCAGGTAGAGAGTTCTGAGGTGCTTTTCCTAAGTTACTTCAAAAGGTCTTACATGATAAAGCAAGACCTACAGAAGCAGCCAGTAGAGATGGCCCAAACGTATAGGTTTTTCTCCTTTCCTGTTTCACTT